CAGTAGTAACTCCCGCTGCAAAAATGCGTTAACGGTTAAAATGAGAATTTGCAAAACAAATGATTTGCCAGTTAGAAAAAGGGTAAAACATATATGATAGATATCAAGTATCTATCAAATAATTATAAGTCCATTTATTCTTGTTTCAATTAGTGATCCTAAATTTTCAATTGTTAGTGTTAAAATAATTACTCTTTTTTCTTAAAAAGAATAATTGTCCACTTACTGATTAGAACTATTTAGTGTGGTCACAGACCGGGCAAATAAAGGCAATTCCATTGCCAGAAATTAATTGAATAAGAGTGTTGGTAAGTGATTTCATATAAAATTGCTGAATTGACTATATTACTGATTACCTTTCAGTCATGTCATCTCACAAATAATGAATAAAAAAACGCATATTTACATATAGGTTTTTGTTTAAATTTGGACGTTCTAAACAAGCTTAATGGACTTCAACCTCCCATGGTTACAAGCCTACATTAACCAAATATTTTCGATGATACTTTAACTTAGGTGTATTGTCTATATCTTTGTATTTGTATTCGCTTTTTTTTCAATGCTTATATAGTTATATAAACTAGCTTTAAACACCCCTGGCAGCTCCGTCATAATCGGAAAAAACGTCCCCAAGCTATTCGATATCAAACATGCTGATTTCTTGTTCTGTGATTTCTTCCAACTAATGTTAAAAAAAGATAATTTAATAATTCTATTAAACCTTACTGATACAAATTTTTACAATATAGTTGTACTGACTTATGGTGATGATATTGACATTTCTAATCAAAACAAAGGTATCTTAACTACAACATTTTTCTTCCACATCCTTCTTCCCCCTACTTACCCCCCTAAATTTCCACCCACTTCCCTACCCATGTATTCGTCTTGTGTTACCTTTCATGTTTATCTGCTTACAGGTCCCGTCGGGTTACAACAACAACAACTACAACATATTCAACTTAAAAAAACAAACAATAGATATTGAAAAAATGAGTATAAAACAAACAGCTTCTGCCAACAAACAAATCTATTGAGTATATTAGGCCTCACGCATCTGTAGGCAATTATAAGTTCCAAATATTCAAAGATTTATTTATCTAGAAATTAGCTATAACACCAAAAATGGCAGGAACTTGGAGATTTAATGAAGAATTTCTGTGTCTAATAGATGCTGATAACAGAGCAATCTCTCGACAAATAAAAACCACGCTCTACAAGTTTCTTATCAGACAAGTCCTATTTTATGATACAGATTCATGGATGAAAAGGCATTAAAAGCCTTTAAAACATAAATTCTTCTTAAGAACCATGCTTCACTTTACATTGGCAAGACCATGAGATTTATAATGACACTGTCATGTTATTGGGTTGTGCAAAACGTGAGATTTAAAGGAAATACTATGAATCACATTTTTTAAGCACCTTTCTTGGGACATACGGTAGTGAAAATTATAATATTCACATTTCTGATGGAAGTTGAAGAACAACTTAGTAGTACCAACTCCAGACAGCAAGCAACTAATCGAATTACGGGGGAAGGCTAATTAATGGTGACTAGTACGTTATCAATCTGCAATGTACAACTATGCACATAAGTAAGATCAGAATCTAATTGAAAATATTCCTACTTACCAAAATACCATTATTATTCTACGTGGAGGAGCTATCAGCAAAGTGTCAGATAACACCTTCCAACTCTTTTTCCTACTCTATTAAAATATGAAATATATAAAATTGTTTCTAAAACCATTGAATTTATCACTTTCAAACTTTAATTACTATTAAATCGTTAGTGTGGATGTCTTTCTGCGCCTTACATTTTCCACAAACTTTTGCTAAATATATGTAGTGCACAGCTTACATATATAAATACATTCCTTTCACTTCTGCTTTACTGTATTTATTGTGCCTCATTGAGTTTTGTTCATCTGGACATTTCTCAGAAATCTACCATTTCTGTACGGCATTTAAGACTACACATCATCCTTCTGCTTCATATACTGCACACGTGTGGAAATCAAAATATTTTTCTATGGATAATTGAAAAACATTATTGAATGAAGAGCCTAATTTAATTCAATTTTCGTTTTCTTTATTTTCTTAGCTGAATATTAAAGCAACCACTGAACTCTATTAGAAATCTTGTTAGGTTCTTATAGTCAAAATTATTAATCAATTGCATTGCTATTTTCCATATTACTATTTCGATTAGATTATTTTTGATTATAGCGAGTATATATATATCATATAGAATATATCAAATGCTATATATAGTTATATATATATGTATATTATAAATATATATATTCAAACATATACATATATGTACAGTCAAACTTCCATAACTCGGACTTCTATAACTTATACTTCTATAACTTGAACTCTCATAACTCGAATTTTCTATAACTCGAACTAAATAGAGTGCAACATTGAATCGTTAAACGTTAAACTTTTACATAAAATACAATATATTATTTAATAATATTAATGTTTAATTTTTAAATGAAATTTGTACAATTTTTCATAATTCAGTTATGGGGGCATATGCGGGGTGATGTTTCGAGAAAACTCAAAATAATGGATTTTCGAAAATAACTCGAAAACGGTACGCAGGAAAAAAATCGAATTTTACAGAAAATTTCCCTATAAGAAATATAGGTCTCGTCTTTGAAAAATTTTTAGCTATGAACTAGTGTAATCGAATAGATAATAAGAATGTTGGAAAACACAAATGAAGAATCGAAAATACGATAATATTTATAGAAGTTCCTTCCTCTGTGAAAGAATGTGAACAATGAGTTATAGATAAACTCATAACTTTAATAAAACAAAATGGTTTTATTGTACAATGATATAAAGATATCTTTCACTTCTATATAGTTAGCCTTCACGGATTCATAGTCACTTTTCGTATGCCAAGATACATAGCCTTGGGACCAATTGCTTATATGGTAAGTTTAGAAAAAGGTATGTGCTTATGTATACTTAGTAACATAATTAATGGTTAGTGTAACTCTTTTCTCTCAGACAATTTTGAAGTCATCACAATGGGCACTAGATGTCTTCAAATGGGATTATTGACAGTTTTATCAGTACGCTTCTATTTAACACAATCTACCAAGTTAGACAAAAATTACAGTTAATGATATTAGTTTATTAGTACCATAAGTCATGTGTAACTTCTATATTTACTTTTAAGCTATATAAAGTTGTATTAAAGATTTTTTATACACTTCTTCGTTCTATTTAAATCCCAAAATTTTGCTTAATCTAACTTAATCACTCTACATACAAATTTAAAAAAAAAACGTTCCCTCTTAAGATCTTATTTACTTATTTACTCCTTCGATGACTCATCTATGTTAAAACAATCCCATTAATGCGAGGACAGTCTTTAGAATGACATTTTCCTTGTGGATTCTATCATATCCTTGATTTTGTTGTAAGCCGAAATCATGTGCACACAAGATTGGTTTGTGACATATAACATGCTGCCAAATTACTTATAGAAAGTTAAATATATATATAGTATATTGACCATTCTTATGCTGTCTCAATTATAAATAAATCTTCAACAAAATTTTATGGACATTGGCTCATGATGTCCGATTTTCCGGAAATTAAAAATAAGGCGAATTGGATTAAGGATATTTAATTGTTTAGTAAAAGAAGTAAAGAATAATTAATATAAAATGAATATAATAAATATAATAAAAATATATTTTATTAATGTATTGCATAATCAAAAAGTCTACGTAATTCGAAAAGCATTAATTAAAAACATAAATATTGATAATGGCATGGATTGGACTCATTTTGAAAGCTCTAATCCATTTAATAATTGTCGACTTGTCTCCACATTATGTTCAGATACTCTCAACAATCATGTTGTTGTATACCGCAGGGATCTACTTATGTAGTCATTTTTGGCACGTGGTCGTTACACTCGCTGAGTGGCACCGGGACATAGACTCAACCCGTTCTTGGAACTCTAAACGATCATGATAATGTGTCGCATCAATGTTCTCACTATTGAGAATCGAAGAATTTTAAAAATCGAAGAAATTCAGATTCACATTCTAAATTCCCAGATTAGATATTAGAAGATAATATACATTACAATTTCTCAAGTGGTATCAAATCGTGACTAATTTAAAAATTGCGCTACTTAGCACTAAAAATAGGCAGATCAGTAGGAAATCAATAGTCAGAATAGTACGTCATTTAAATTACGGTGATGAGAGTTTCTGATGAGAGGATATTTTATCTAAAAACTCACAGCGTAGTTAACTTCATATTAAGTATTATTATTATTTTATATAAATTGTTTAATTCCTGTACAAAAACTGTATAATCTATACTATATAGTAGAAAGTTAATATCTGAACAGATCAATTCTGAAATACCTTATTAGATGAAATAAATCTAAGTTCGATTTACTTATTATTTATTACTAGTAATGTATCATAGTGCCCCAGAAATCATTATAGCTCATTAAAATTTACCTGCTGTCATATAGCCAAGGAGAATGTCATATACTCAGCACAAATACAAACATTTATAAGAGTTTGAATGCTACCATCCTACTACACTTTAATTAGTCCGACCGGAATATTTTCAATTGACGAATTAACCACAGCAACTTCATCAAGAGTGGCTGCATGTACTAGTTTTAAAACAATTAAATCGTTACCAATACATGTTACCATTGGAATAACCTCTATAGCTTACAATGGTTTTGAGTATGAAATCAATATCAGAGCTTTTAATATTGTCATGATTTCTACTTTTTAAATCTAAAAAAAAATCAAAAACCACTTTACCTGTTAAAATTCAATTAATCAGTTAAATTAGCTCAAAAAATAATTATCAATTTCACACATAAAATTTATTTAGTTACATGTACTATTTGTACACTGTTTACATATTACAATTTAAAAGGTTAAAATTATAAATATTAATTAAGAAAATAAATATAACATATTTCTATATATATTTAATATATATTGCACGAATTACTTATAATTTAGCCTCATCAACTACAGTTTTTTTTTTATTCTTAACACTAGAGCTAACCTGCTTGCGACTAGGGCTGGAGTCATTAGTACTTTTAGAAATTTTGTCAATATCTTCACTTTCCTTATTTTTATCAACGTCTTCTATTACAGTTATATTTTTATTCTTAACTCTAGAGCTAGCCTGTTTGCTAGTGCAAGGCTCTTCAGTGCTTTCAGCACTTATGTCAATATCTTCAATTTTCTTAACTTTGTCAATATTTTCTTTTTCAGTTTTAGCTTCATTCTTTAAACGTTGGTGCTCACTTTGAATTAGTTTACGCAATTCTTTACCCCAGCCCAAACCATCAGCTAATGCAAACGCACCATCATCACAGTCACCAATATAAGCTATATCCCTTGTATTCTTCTTGCTGTCAAAATTCAAACTCGGTCCACCACTAAACCAACTTAACCTGTCGTTATTCTGACCCACTTTAGTGCGATTAATCAGCAAACGCACGCAATCAGATTTTGCATGATCAACAAGCATTGCAAATGGTTGCACCTCTAATGATGTACCCATTATAATCAGCAAGTCACATTTTTTGAAATCCTTCTCTGGTAGTGCATAGAAATCTGCTGGTAAATTTTCACCAAAAAACACAATGTCAGGCTTAACAACGCCATTGCAAACGCTACATGTTGGCACATTATCAGCAAATATCTGATCTTTCATCCATTCCATAGTATATAGTTTACTACATTCCAAACAGTGATTTGTGTGAAATGTACCATGCGCCTCCACTAACTTCTCGCCAGGTATACCTGCGATCCGTTCCAAAGTGTCAATATTTTGTGTGTAATGTCTAAGCAATAAGCCTTTCTCATGTAGTAGACGCACAAAGTAATGTGATGGTGTTGGATTGAAAGTGCCCGGATATAATTCTTTAGCTAAGGCAAAGAATGGTTGGGGATTTTCATTGAAATAATCTAACTCAAATATAGCTGTAGGATATGGTAAATTATATTTTTTCAAATTATCATAGAGACCAGATCCAGGTGAACGAAAATCTGGTATGCCAGCAGCTGTAAATATAATTTATATTATGTTTCATTATATTTTCTTTTAAGCATATAAAACTTACATGTGGAGATACCAGCTC